ACTCAGGCGTTTTGCAGCTGAATGGTTCCCAAGACACTTAAAGAATTTCTCAAACATGCATGAAAATATCAAAGCAGCTCTCCATGTTTGCTCTATGAGATAAATCACAAAAGTCAATTTGACATAAAACTTAACCCCTTAACAGAGTGAATACTTCTGCACCTTCATGCGCTCACCTTCCCAAAGCAGCAAAGCAGCGAGGAGTTTCTCCATCTGGGTTTCAGTTTCTCCAGCCTTATAAATGAGCCGAGCGCAGAGCAATTTTATTCCAGCTCTTTAATCTAACGTCTGTCATATTGCAGATGGGCCGAGGAAACGCTGCTAATAAAACAGCACATCTTTTAAACCTGAGTTAGAGGTGCAACTGTAGAACTGCTGAGGCTACGTCCAGCTGGCCTTGTAAAAGTCACGGACTCCGGCGAGGGCCAGAACAACGCCATTTGTCTTAACGTCAGCAGATTCAATAATTAATGGGCCGTATCCTATCACAGCTCCCGTTTACCCCCGCTAAGGCTCAGATCTCAGGAGCAGGACGTCCAGTTTTACCTCAGAACGTTTAATTCCTCTTCATTACGCCTCGTCTGGTTGCATCTACACGGTTATTTACTTACTTTGACTTGCAAACGTGCTGCAGTGATGCCAATAACGCAAGGAAACAATCCAGTGACATTAGCATCTGGCTTTGGATCAGAATAATTCATGAGGAAAATACAGGCGAACCGCTAAACATTTGGGGCATTTTTACCTCTGATGCTGAGAGCTTTTATTAAGGCAAATAAATAATGAGGATTAATGTTTGTGTGTTTTGTGTGATGGTGTATTAAGGCAACGGAAGGTAGAAAAAAACTTTACAGTTCCACAAAAAAAAAAAAAAAGCAATTTTCTACAAAATCTTTTTTGAAAGTAAAAACATTTCAACTTTTCACACTTAAAATTTTTTATGTTTATATCTAAGAAAATTTCTGAGCTCAACCTCAAAATTTCAGATTTTTTTCTGGCAACTTTTTCAACAATGGAGATTATAACGTATGATACTTCTGGAGAAAAAAACTACTCTGGAAATGTCCTTGTTTCTTCTTTTTCTTATTCTCAACATTTTTGGAGGCAAGTTTACTCCGGTCCTGCTATGCAGTTATAGTTTTACCTGTGGATTTGATAAAAGTAGCACGAAAGTGTTTGCCAGAGAACTTAAATCTATATTTAGGTTTTATGTGACAGACTAATAAAATAGGACAAGTCTATGAAGTGGAAGAAATGCATCATCTTTAAATTTCTGAAAAGTGTGCTGTATATTTTGCATTAAACTTGACTCTGATACCCGTAAAGAAAACCTAGTGAAACTCAGTTCGATCGTTAAAATTACAACATTTGCTCCATTTCCAAGAAAACCTGTTCCTCTCCTCACCTGTGGGGGCGCTGCAACAAGAACCACTGAAGGAAATAACAAAAAACCTCTGAAGAAGACACTGAGGCCAACTTTCTTCTTCATGAAATGGAAACAAAAATGTTGAGGTGTCGGATTTTAGCGGTTGGATGCTAAGAACCACGAGTCATTTCTCCTGCTAGCGCTAAGCTAGCATGTTTGTTTTGGTTGAATTTACCCAGAATGCCTTGCGCTGTAGTTCATTTCCTGCTTTTGGAGTGGTCTCTGGTCCGCTTGGCATTCACATTCGATCCGAACCAGAGTTCACTTAAACCGAATCAAGAATATGACTTTATTCTAATTTTTATTTCTTTCCTAGTCTGGCCCTGATTCGCCGTCGTATCTCCTGCACCGTCTGACCTCAGAGTTCAGCAGAGGGGGGAATCAATGAGCACGATCACTCGGTGTGAAAATGTCAGCCTCCCCACCCTCACTTTCTTTATTGATGCTGACATTTTGCCTGACTCCAGAGCGGGGGATGCTACAGTACATCACACAGAACGGACGCCACTGCAGGCTGAAAAATGAACATGCAAACCTTAATTCATCTCTTCTACCGTTCTATCTTTAAGTGCATTAGAAACCCAAACAGTTAAGCATTGCATCTGTGAGCTTTGCTGTGCCCCAGCTGCTAAAAGATGATATTTTAGGATTTTCCTCCCCCCACACTTTCCCTTTCCTCTATCCCTGCTCATCGCCCCTGTAACCATCACGCCTTCCCCCAGGTGGCTTTGGGGCCGGCCTGTCTGAAATGTGATAGGCATAATCCCATTTAGTCTAATTGCATCTGCGGGAGAGTGTCCCATCGTGTGCCTACCAAACCCCTCAGAAGACATTAGGCACACATTTCCACACAGAAGCATCCTGCAGACACATGCACAGGCATGCATGCACGAGCCGGACACTTCTACCGCATCTTTCTATGCTGGTCCTGACATGTAGAGGTGACCCATTATGCTTCTTTAACATGTTAGGATCCCTCTCTGGTCTATACAAAACATCTGCACAAAATCCTTCTTAGGTAAAATGTTAGTCTGCTCCTTTCAGGATAAGCTGTTTTAGGGCGTTCTGTGACTTTAAATCAAAATAAGCTGCAGCCAACTCAACATTTACACTTGCATGTGACAATGGCTTCCAACAGATACAAATTTATACAACCGTAAAGCTTTGAAAAGAATAAATGGAGCCTCCTGCACAACCAAATAGAATGCAGTAAGTGGCGGCAGCAAAGAACAAAACCAGCTGACCAAAACTGCTGGAGCTCACCTTGGGTTGCTAGGTAACGGCTGGACCTTTCTGGGGTCACCAGGTGAAGGCCAATGCCTGTTAATTTGTGTTGTTACATTGGTAAGGCTTTTGAAACTGGTCATAACCGATACATACATCTGAGCGAAGTGCAAACAGGTTCTGGCTTTACGCACTTTCAGAAGCTGCGTTCACCATCAGTCTCAGTCTGAATCTGCATTAGAGTGGGAGAGAAAGGGAAGTCCGGAGTCGGTCAACAGCCTGATGGAAACAAGCAGGTTGGAATTTGTGCATTTGAATTTGTTTCCACCTTTGAAGCAGATTTAGTGCATCAGCCTCTGGAGGGGGTAGTTTGGTGATGCTGTGTTTTCACTGAGACTAATGAGAAAGAAGGACGACAAAGAAAACACAAAACAGAAGACCACATTGTTTTTGGTAAATCCGTTATAGAAAACTCGGGAGCCCTTCATGCAGAGCCTGATATTGTAAAAAGTTGCTGACATACGAGGCGTGGGATAAAAGATCTTTAAAATTCAAGAATTGAAAACCCAAATAATTAGAGGCTGTAAAGCAAGATGGCCGGCTGATTATGGAACCCCAAAGGAGCGTATTGTGCAAAAAAATCCAAATTTTAAAAAATTTTATCTTCAAAAAACATCAAACCTGAGTGCTTGTGGCTGCTACAACAGCCAATATCATCCATTTATGGGTTTGCAAAACTAGACCATGAATCTGTCAATTTATACAATTATGCATCTGACACACCCAATATTTTCCTGCTTTTGCAAATAAAACAAATCATCCTGCAGCTCAGAGAGCAGATGTAATCTTGTTTTGCTCTCTAGATTGAAGGATAATCTTGTTAACAAACAGCTGCTTCCACAAAATGAACCACAAAAAGTTGGGCGTTAAAGAGCAGAAACATCAGAAACCTGAATCTGATGAACCACATCTCCACGTTATGAAGAGAATAATGTTGCTTCTGCTTTCTGTCGTGGAAATGTTGCACAGCAGCAGCGACATATTGAGCTGTAGCTGTGCACAGATCAATCTGCAGCACAAAGGAAATCAATACGGCGGAACCGAGTTAGTCCGCTGAGCCGAGTGCAGATCATTAGATTTGGATGTGGGAGAGGAGAACCATTCCAGTAAATGGAAATAAAAGCATTTCCTGTGCTGGAATCTAGCTTTAGTGCACAAGTGTAATAATTGTGCTCAGAAATGATTGTCACAAACATTGTTTCTAGAGATGGAGGTAATCAGAATAATGACTACTTCACTGTTTTGGTGTTTTCCATTAACTGGTGCAGCCATGCCTGTGGGGAAAGAAATCCAGTGACTCATTATCTCTGAAATGAAACTATTATCTTGAAAATAATAAATAAAGCCGTTGTGCATAATGTGATATTACACACACAGAGCGGCGTTCAGCGAATCCGTCTGAAAGGAAAAACACCCATATGGCCACATTGTTTTGGAAATAAGGAAGCACGGATGCTCAGTCACCTGTTATTCTTAAGTATGGATGAAATTGCAGTGATGGTTTTCAAATAAGACAGCTTGAGTTTACCTCTGCTGGATAAAAATAGCCACTACACTGCCGGATCTCCAGCTGTTCCTTTATCCCCGGCTCAATCCAGTCATTAAAACTTTCACATCTTTTCAAACATTTGTTGAAAAAGCTGCCAAATCACAGGGAAATGTCTAAGCAGCAGGCACAATTCACAATATAAAAACTTACAGAGCTGGAGCTAAGTGAGAATAGCTGCTGGGGGAAGAGGAAAGCTTGAAAGTAGCCATCTGACTCTCCATACTGATGTTTAGTTTGGAAAACAAGTTTTTGTTTGTGAAAAACTTCCACTTCTCTGCCTTACTCATTTATTTAAATGGATGAAAGACGAGCTGACCAGTCGCCCTAAACATTTTGTAATTTCCTATTACAAGTTGTTGTTGAAATATGTAAAAACACAACTGTACATCTTTCTTATATGTTTTACGTATTTTTTACAAAAAAAAAAGAAGTCAGGGTCATGGAGGCTTGATTGAGTCAAACTTTCTGAAAGTTTTTATCAGCCGCTAAAAAATATCTAACAGCTCTAGCTAATAAAGCAAAATCTGTTCTCAAAACGCATCGCAGCAAAAATGACATCAATATTTTAACTGATAAAAACTACATTACAGTATTTTTTGTATTTGAAATAGACGTCAAAGCTTTTTAGTCATGTGATTTTGGTTTCAGATGGAGGCAGGAAGTAAAATCTGAATGAATGTCAAAGCTTTTTATTGTTTCACTTTTAATCCAGTTTCAAAACCTTATCAAACATGTTGTACATTACTCATATAAGAGTTCAAAATAAGCTACAGATTCTCATGGACCACATAAATGCGCAAAATGAAATCACGAAAATAAATATGCTAAAAGTAAACACGGCAATTTTGATGAAAAGCTTTCGCGCCAGGATGGGGTGGGTTTTCGGCCGGATCAAAATTAATGTAGTAAAGCTGCAGCTGGATGTTACTGCTGGAGGAAACAACAAACAAGACAACAGGAAGTGGTAGGAGGATGCCACAGTTAGTTTTTTAATGACGTGAACAAACTTTTTCACGTGTGATTTTAATTGCAATTCTTATTTAATAGAAACATTAGCAGAATATTGACAAAGTTTTGTCCACATTTGTAATGGAACATTTAATTCATTGGTTATTGAGGTTTAATTGTCACCAAGGGTGACACGTTTTTAGGTTTTTGGCATTTACTTTTCCAGCCAGGTTGTTTAGTTTTGCATCCTTTACCCAGTAAGAAAAATCATCATTTGAAAGTGTCTTCATGTTTAAGCCACAATTATTGCAGTACTCGATTATTTTGCCAATTCGACAATTAGATAGAGATGAATTACGTTTTACAGCTTTTTAATTTAACCACTTAAACAATATTAGAAATATGGATATAAAGATAATCCAATTCCCTTTTAAATAGGAAATATAAAGCAGTAACATAACATTTCTTCAGTGAATTTGAACCACTCTGCCACTCAAGAGTTTTAAAACATATTCACATTGCAAAATGTACATATTTATGTACAGATTTGATTACTGCTCTAAATATGTTGTTTTTCAGCAAATGGTCTTGTTTTGAATGTCTATATTCCTATTTACTAAATTAGTTGACAATCTGATTAATCGATGAATCGTTTCAGTCCTATTTGGGCCATTTTTGCTGTTAAAACTTGTTTGATTCTGACAGGTCATCTAATCATTAGCAAAAATCATCAATCACTACATTTGCTTCCAGATGTTTGAGCATTAATGTCTTAAAGTCGGCATACCGAGCGTGCAAATCCACCTGCAAGCTGGTCCTCCAAGACCTTCAATCAAGGTGTGTGAGGTTGAAAACTTGATTACTTTCAAGTTAAACCAATTTCCAGCAGAATTGAATTCTTGTTCTCCGTTGCAGGTGAGCACCCCGCGGACGTCTGCGTCTTCCCAAAGAAATAAAGCACCTATAAACAGCAGCCTTTAAGGGAGGGGGAATGTAGAGCCAAAATGCAATTAATATGCAAATTTTAGGGGGAGACTTAATGGGGAGCCTTAACAAACACCCGTGTGTTGCGAGATAAGGCTGTTTTCTTCTAACCTCTGCTTGTCCAAAGTCAATGCCTTGGGGAGCCGAAAGTCTCCAAAGCTCCTCATAATGGATTTTTGTTCTAGGAAGCGGGCTGAGGTTGTGTTTTTAGCATTCATACTGCTAAAACAGCAACTAACGTCAACAGATCACTTTTTATTTTCATCCTATCTTCTCTTTTTCATTAAGTTTTCTCTGCATCCCATTAAAATCTGTTAAACTTGAGGCCCGGGGGCCAAATCTGGCCCGCCATAGCTTCTTATGCGGGTCACATAAATAGAAACTTTGAGATAACAGTTGTTTACTTAAATATTATTTTATTAATCAACTCAAAGGAGTTTTTATCCGTTTACCGCAATATTACATCAGTTTCTTTAGTTTTCTATCCCACTCATGAAAATTTGACTATTTTCTAATATTTCGACTATATTCTCATAATATTATCACTTTATTATTGTAATTTTTTTAGTATGAGACCTAATACTCTAACACAAATATTTAATATTTTAACTGCTTGTTAACGGCGTTTTTGCACTTTCTGGGACATCCGGACATTTAAAAATATTCCTAATGTAGAAACGAGTGAGGAAGAGTTTGACCTCCTGTTAGACTCTGGAGCAGAAATGGAGGGGAAGATGGAGGGAATACGAATCCTCAGGCAAGAGGAGAGAGTGTGCATTCAGGTTGGATTCATGTTGTGATCGCGGTTTGATGAGGAGCGACGGACAGGAGGAGAGAAGATCTTTGGGAAGAAACGTGGAAGACAGACTGGTGTTGGAGCGGCAGAGTGGGCCAAAGCAACGCCGTCTGATGGATCCAAATCCCCAGAGTCTCCGTCTCCCCCACCCTAATGATTCATTCTCCACCTCCAGGCCTCCGCGCCGTGATTCACACCCAGCTGAGTTATTGCTGCGGCCGCCTGCAGAGCTCCATCACTCTCCCTCCATCTTGGGTTTTCATCTAACGAGTATATGAGCTGCGACCAGCGCCTGATTGCACTGAAGTGCCCAGCTCAGCAGTTTTTATTAGACTGTGCGCTCTTATTCACACGCTGCTATAACTTTGATGGTCACTTTTCCAGGAAGAGTTTTCCATTTTTTAAAAGCTCCACCGTTTACAGCTGATGGTGCAGAGACAATCCAGAGGAGGGGACGCTATAAACGTTGATTAGATGAGTGTGGAGAATCTAATAAACAAGCAGCCATTGGTATTCCTTCAACAGCATGGAGACGATGGAGTCCGGACATGACGGTTCAGGTCAGCAAAGAACAAAGAGAAAAATGGAATCTGATTCAATGTTCAGCGATCGATTCAGTTTGCAGAACTGTGACAATTCAAGGAGACATACTCGGCACAATCCAGATGTTTTTTGCCCAAATCCGACTTTTTTCATCACCCATTTCATAAGTTCTCACCCAAATAAAAATCTGATCTGTTCCACTGTGGAACTAAATCACACCCAATAGTTTTCAAAAGCTCCTCAGTCGCATCATTTTATCCAACTTTCACAATGAATCATAATTCTGCACCAGAAAAAGTCGAAAAAGGTAAATCTGGATGCAAATTATGGCAGAAAATAATTACAAAATTATGAAAGCAGTTTGTCAGTGAATGCATCACATCGGGCACATGACCCCCCTAAAAATGATCGCAGACCAGGACTAGCATTGGTTTTAGCTGTGAAGTTGACAACATAGCACACCAACTCCTAAATGTACACGTCGTATGTAAACGTATATATATTAAAAAATGGGACACAATGATTTGCTGGTAACTGTCAACATTATGGCAACTAGACAAGGTCAGGAAAAACATTTAATACAAACAAGAAGAGTGAAGCAGCTCAGTGAAGCTGGTATGACTTTGATAATGATGGAGGCCTTTTGACAGATCATCAGTAGAGCAGGTGTTTGAATTAGATAGTCTAAGATAATTGTAGATTATAATTTTAGCTACAACAATGTAGCTGATTTATGTAACTTCTAATTTTTTTTCAGATTTATCTCATACTGTACTGTGACAGTACAGTATGAGATAAATAAGATATGAAAAAATAAAAGCACAAGCTCATCTGCCTTCTTTCAGTGTTGATTAGAAACCTTGAATACAAAGATTTCATAATTAATTGTATTTGTTGTTTTGTTTGGATATTTTAAATGTCTTCCAGTTCTAGTGTTAAATGTCCATTAGATTTTAAAGTATATTGCCATTTTATTATGGAAAAATGGTCTCAAAACAACATTATCATTTATCGCAATAACTTCAGGGACAATTTATCGTCCAGGCTGACTGAAGCTGCATTCAAATAAAGGGTTTTGTATGCAACTCTTTAATTCAGTCACACAGACCCCCTCCTCCGGTTGCACACCCGTGCAGAGGGGATAATCTGGCATGCACTGGCGTCATGATTAAAGTGTACTCCACTCACCTGCCCAAGTCCAATCAAGGCCTGCACTGATTGCAGCAGCTTGCAGAAGACAAATACAGAGAGTTGGGGGAGGTTAGAGGAGTGGAGGGTCCGTATCTGGTGAGGTGACACAGCGCTGGAGCCTTCGCCCCAGGGAGGATCCATCCTCTCCACTCCGGCCAGACGGGGTGAATCAATCATCTGCAAAGATGTCAGCATCTGCCCAAGCAATTTCAGATTGGAATAAATGGCAGATGGGGATGTTGTTCCCTCTGTTTAATCAGTTCCACCAAATGTGGTTTTATCTCTTATAAAATGAAACCATCTGTAGCACGTAGGTGTAAGGATCAAGTGAGGGAGGACGCAGGGAGACGAGATGTGCGTTAGAGTGTGTGCGTGCCTTTTTAAATGTGTGTGTGGTGATGGAGAGGGAGAAACAGAACGCTGTGAAACAGAAGCAGAAGAGAAGCACTTATCCATTACAAAGAGAGAAAATGTAATCTTACTGCAAGCTCACACCTCCAGTCTAATCTCCCGTTTCTCCCTCAAAGGAGCTCGGCCCAGGGGTTTCACCATCACATCTCCAGCCATCTACTTCCACCTCCGCCTACAAAAACACGCCGCCGCTGTAATTTGGTCCCTTAAACCCGGTTCCAGCAGAAACATTAATGATAAATCCCCTTTTTTTAAACCAGGATGAGGACATACGCATTTAATTCTCAGTTGGTTCAGGAATGTCTCTGCAGTGATTTGCTCCTCATTCCTCCACGCAAACCAAACAAAAATGTACAACAATATTCCTGCTGTACACAATTTCTGTCTCATACATAACTCGCAAGGTAATTCACTGTTACTAAACTACAGCACAGTTTTTAGAAACTATTAATGTGTTTAGAAAACACGCCAAGATTGGCTGAAAAGAATAACAATGCAAATAAATGCATGATGCAAGAAAAAAAAGTCATAGGAGAATAGTCACAAGAATAAACATAACGCAATGAAATAAAACTCATTACCACAACAGTTGTAATAATACAAGAATAAAGCAGTATTAATATAAAATAAAAAAGTGTTAATATGAGCATATAGCCACAATATCACCAAAATAAATTTAGAATATTAGGAGAATTAAGTAATTTAGTATTGACTACATTAAACTGTTATACTAATCCAGTGGTACACATTAAAGCAGATAAACATAATTCCTACAGTATTCCCTGAAAAGCAGCATAATCCTTATTTTGTTTGACCATTTGTCAGAAGAAAAAACAATCCAGTCTGGAAAGGAAAAGATGGAGCATCATCTTTTCACCAACTCTTTATTGGACTTTATTAGAGCAAACTGGTGAATGTCAATAACAAATTTAAATAAAATTGGCAAAGAAATTCTGAGATTGGAATCAGAAAAAGAGCTAAAACGTTCAGACATTATTGTACAACCATCTCCAGTGGTTTAAAGGCTTAGATTAGTTTATTATTTCGCAATGTTCTGCATCAGAAAACATTATTGTAAACCAGCCAAAGTAGAAATGACCAGTAAGTGATCAGAGTCTCTGACTTGTTAAAATCTCAGCAGTGAAAATTAAAAGTTGTTGTGAGAGCTGAAAGATCTCCATCAGCCGCAGAAACTCCGTGTACTGGCAGGATGCATTGCGATAATTGTGAAAATGACTTCGGACTCCAGCTGAGTGCTAAATGGTTTCTCTAAGAGTCGGCTATATCCGGACGCTTCACATCCACTTTAGTTTCTGGCTCCTGCATTTTTAATGCTAAGGCTAAAATGGCTCTCAATGCAGAAACCAAGAGACCCTCAGGCGAAGGCAGTTGGACATCAAGTAATAATTCAGAAATAGATTTCAGCCATCAACCAACACGACTCATCATCAACGCTGGCAACAAAGACGAATTTTAATAAGGCCGACTTAAATTAAAGGTGACATTATACAGAGAACAAGCGGATTATTTTTCCTCTTTTTTTACAGGCAAGTAGTCAATTTGCTAATTAAACTAATGGAAAATCTGGTATAAGAGCCGCATTTATTGAATTACATTTGATATTTTCCTTTAACGCATTTACAAAACATATATATGACGTGAGATAGACGTATACAAATGTCTACCATTGAAGTATACTAAGAGAAAATATTCAATTTTGAATATAATATGGAAGAGAGTAAAAAAACAAGTTTTGACTGAAACAGCAAATGACGTGGTGCTGAGTATTCAGCCCATGACAATATTTTGTAGATTAAAGTTCCTGAATAATTTTACAGAGAAAAATAAAATAAAAAAATCTAATGCATAATTTATAAACAAAACGTCTGCCTATGTAATATAACAAAAATTGCCCAAATGTTTGCTGTTGACCGGCACAACTTGGGCCAGTCAGTAATGGCGCCGCCCATGTGCTAATAGGCTATTAGCCGTTTAACTGAGCTGCTGTAACTCACCTAAACTTCGCCAAACGTTTCATTTTTCTCGTTCTTGTTCTCAGCCTCGACGCTGTGGGATCACACACCGTTCTTCAGACAGGAAACATAAAAACGTTTTAATCTCTCAAAATTTTGTTTCTCTCTTCATAGCTTAGCATCGGCTCTGCTCCGTCTCTCTTCGGATTTCTTCCCGGAAGTACCGATTTTTTTAGGGCGGGACTTAAGCGGTTTCACCAATCAGAAGTCAGCATTTCCTGATAGAGCCTATAAGAACTCTTCCTGTGAACATGTCTATGATTGGTTATATAGACTGCACTAAAAGACAGATGAAATGAAGCCAATAAAACCTACCTTAATAAAAACTATTTTACTAACAGATGTATTACTAAACTGGATTAATAAGGCTATTAAAATGGCAGCATTTCTTGCAGTGGTTCACATAAACATTTAGTGAATACACTAAGTATTTAGCTCCAAAATATTTAGTAACCAAGTTAAGTATTTAGCTCTGTACTAACTTAATATTTTGCTTTAAATTGTATATATATATATATATATATAAATTTCTAACTAATCAATATTTAGGTGATAAGCAAATTTAATATCCTATATATGAAAATGGAATCTCAAACGTTAAAGAGCTATTTAGTTTTAATAGTTTATAAAGTGATAAATATTTAGATTGTAAATTAAATATTTAGTTTGAAAATGTGCCAATGAATGAACATGTTCAAAATATAACTTTAAAAAAATTAACACCAATATTTCGTCTCTTATGACTGGCTGAATAACCCAAATTATTCTGGTAATTTTTACTGCATCACTTTACAACCACCACCCACTATATTGCCTCCTATTGACTAGTTTTATATAATTTAAATCCAGAGTATTATAGTTCAGATCCAACAGGTCCTCCATCTGCAGACTGAGTTTTATACGGTTCTTCTGAGACATGAAAGCAGCTTGTAAAACAATCTTGCTTGTCCTTTGTCCTCACCGTCTCTGCTTTTCTATTTCTATCTCTGAGGGAACTAATTTAGGGCTTTCAGACAGCCAGGTAAGCAGCCAGGGAGGCAGGAACCGAACAGAATGAACAGCCAGCCATACATATGGATCAGGTCGGCAGCTGAGCATTAATGGCCTCCCCCTGGAATCTAAAACACAGGCGCAGGCCAGAGAGGAGCTCCTGGGGGAAATCAGAATACCAGCAGCCATTCAGGTCAGCTTGTTCATGTTCGCAGCATGTTACAGCTCCATTTCTGTTCCCCCACCCCTCGCACTCACACCACCGCCTTCTCTCAGGTTATTCATGCACTTTTATTTAATGTCGAGCAGAGAGCAAGGCTGACTGTTCACTGGAAACACAGAGAACAGAGACAATCGCCGACAAACCAAAAACTCAGGAGATCAGCATGTAGCCATGATCAATATTTTAATCAAGTTTATTTCTATAGCACATTTCAGCAACAAGGAGGTTCAAAGAGCTTTACATCATCAAAACAACATAAACACATTAACAATTATGAAAATCAGTAATAGACATTACATTTTGTCCAGAGCCATAGTCAAAGTCTTCAATACAAAATGTCAAGAGAAGTGCATGAAAAATTACTCTTATATTGCAGCTTAATTAATTAATCAGACTTTATCAATTGAGCAAAAATCTTCAAGTGTGTTTTCCCAAGTAATAGTCAAGTAGACTCGATTCAGTTTGGGACCAGAACTTCACCATCTGCTCCACCTGCAGCTGCTGTGGCTCTGAGTCAAACCAACCTGTTCCCCTCCTGGCCTGTGGGGGCGCTGCACCAACAACCACTGCGGGAAACACACAAAGACCCGTGAAGACACTGAGCACAACTTCCTTCTGATGCCTTCTTCAATGGAGGTCTCCACCTATTTGTCCTGCTAGCGCTAGGCTAACATGTTTGTTTTGGTTGTATTTACCCAGAATGCCCTGCACTGGCAGACGAGAGTTCATTTTTTTGGTGATTATGTGTTCAAGCAAAGTTGACTTTCTAGTCAAGCAAACTTCAGTTTCCTTAAAGTGGACTAAACAGGGCTGGTGTAAATGTGCGTTTAGTGTTAATCCAACTCCGGTCCGTTTGTCTAGAAAGTTCGGTTCATTCAGGGAGAAGCGAACACTTAATTGAACCAAAAAATACAAATTCTGGTGCTCCAAACCTCGGTCTGGGTTCAGCTGAACTGAACCCTGGTGCCTTTTGAATGTATATATGACCACCAAGCAGACTGGAGACCGCTCATAAAGCAGGAAGTGGACTACAGCACAGGGCATTCTGGGTAAATACAACCAAAACAAAAATCCTGCTAGCAGGATAAATGGCTCAATGTATGTTAACACAAAAAAAGAGAAATTCTCCAACTGCTATAATCTGAGATCACTTTTTTAAAATTATTTTGTAAAGAAGGAAGTTGCGCTCAGTGTCTTCAGAGGCTTTTGTGTTGTTTATTCAGTGGTTTTTGGTGCAGCGCCCCCAAAGGCGTGGAGGGGAACCAGTTGCTCAAAGGGTTTGGTTTAAGCAAACCGCAGCAGCGGAAAATGACTCAGTTTGCTTTGGTCCCAAGCAAACCGAGTCAACCAGACTATCAGGTGAAAGTACCAACAGAAGAGGAATCAAAGAAGTGCGGTATAAAATATGTTTCTTAACTTAGGAAATTCTCACTATGAGAATACGCCTCTGCAAAGCAGATTTTGTGTTTTACACGTTTTCGCCAGGGGTGCCGGTAGGTGTGGAGGGTGCTTTCTTTCTGAGTCATTCGATGTAATTTCAGGAGGTCACTGACTCACGACGCAGTGACTCACGGCTCCATCATGAGTCCTGAAGCCAACGGTCACATGGGGATCTTCACAAACATCCCGCCTGTAATTCATCCAACAAATTCATGTGCGCGGATCAGACTTCAGGAACTTTCACCCGTTTGCCAGCCCAGCCAGAGCGGTGGGTGTTTTCTGGAGAACAAAGGGCTTTGTCTGCGCCAGCGTAAGAATGCCGACAATGTGACGGTCATAAGTTGGACTTCTGACCTCGCCGGAGCGCCAGTCCCTCCCACACGCCGTACATAATACTGCCTATGTCCTCGCTGCTGACACGCTTGGAAGTGCTGACTTGTAAATACAAAATATAACATTGATTTCTTCTGTGATTTGCTCTGAACGCTTGAATGCAAAGTTTTAACCTCTAAGAATTTAAAACCTCTAAGAATTTAAAGAATGAGTTTAAAGTGACTGGAATAACTTTAGGAGTAGTCTTTTGTGGAGAATTACTGAAAGGTTTCATTTAGTTAATCTACTTATATAACACCGAATAAAGGCTTTAATAGAGCTGTATCTACTTACATGCTTAGTTATTTTAGCAGCAGTTTAAATAAAATAATTTTCTTCCATAGTTTTGAGTAAATATTGGAAAACTGATATTTATATTGAAGGTTTTCTTGTGGTCTCGTCCCAGTTTATGGCTCGCTGTGGTAAATAACTATAAGAACCAGCCATTTGCATCCATTTGAATTTGTTTGCAATACAAAATTCAGCAGCTACATTTAGTGTTTATTGTTCAGAATATTAAACCTTCTCTGTTTCTTATAGAGTTAAACAGATCTAACCTGCTATGCTTCCTCGAACAGTTTAGGGTTGTACAGGGATGCGGCGGTAAAACCAGCTGACCAAACGTGCTGGAGCTCAGCTTGGGTTGCTAGGTAACGGGCAGAATTCCACTGTGGTTGCTAAGTAACGGCGCAGTGCCCATGGACTGTGACTCTAATTTGAAAGTTTTTGAAACTGCTCCTTTTCTAGACACCAAAAATCATTAAGTTATTACTAAAGAAAACATTGGGGTGTTTTTTTAAGTGCTTGGGTTGTTTAAGGAAGCAAATGGAAGAGCAAAAATGTGCAAAATGTGAACTAACTTAAGCAGTGAAGGAAAAAATGAGAAACTTTTTGGGTAAATGTGACTTTTTCCATGGATTTTAGTGCAACTGGAGCTCATCCACAACTCTGACTCAACAAATCCCAGCAATAAACTCCAGCCCACATCTCCTCTCTCCGTCCATCCATCCATGTCCATCACTCGGCTCGTCAGTGTGTGTGTGTGTGTGTGTGTGTGTGTGTGTGTGTGTGTGTGTGTTGTGTGTGTGTGTGTGTGTGTGTGTAGAGGCGAGGCAGGGATGGTTGTGTCTTGATGCAGCGGCAGCAGCAGCCTGTGGAAACAAAGGCAGGGTGATTTATAGCTTCGTACCGAGAGCATAAATCACACCTGCAGCGCTGCGCCTTTAAACGCCCCGCGTCCTGACAGCATTTACCTTTTATAAATGATTGGGCTGAACCTCCCATGGAGCCCCGGACTACGCAGCTCACTCACTCCCCATCCCGTTCCTCCTTTGTTTCTCCTATCTCCGTCTCACTAGCATTAGCTCTGCATCTTCCTGAACCTCCTCCTGCTCTCCTCTCATCCTATCTGTCCTCTCCCTGTTCGCAGAGCGTGATGGCGACTCGCCTGGGATATATTGCTCTCGCCTTTCAGAAAGCGTCTGCATCTGCAGCCGTTAAGGAAATGAATGTGTCAGTCACGGCCCTATCTGCCTTCCTCATGAGGAGGAGGAGGAGGCCTGGCAGGATAACCGTACCTGCGTACGGCGGAGGAATAGCGAATGCGGCTGCAGATAAAGGTGACGTCTTGAGGCCATTACTTATCCAGCACAGCAGCAAAGGTTTGCAGATATTATACCTGCTGTCTCCACATAATAGCTCTCGGTTGGAAGCAAACACACACACACACACACACACACACACACACGCATGTGGAAATGTAACGAGCACAAACAACCAAGGCCCACACGCAAATTTACACAGGTCTCGGCTGCTAAATCTGTGAAAACACACACAAACACACACACGCACACACACACACACACAGATGGACACACTGGGATGCCTCGCTTTGCCGAGTTAAAACAGATGAAAGAGCTGCTAAATGAAATCTGACTCAACAGTTTAAAATGCAGCGCTGCAACTCTGCGAGGATCAGAACAGCAAAACGACGCATTCCTCAAAGCTGCCACAGGAGCAGCCGTCCAGATGCAACTTTGGTTTGTTATTATGCTTCCTTGAACAGGTTGGGAAAGGTGTGTGGCCTATTCAAAGCACGCTTGTTACACTTCTACACA